ATCATCATCGTCATCATCATCATCGTCATCATCATCATCATCATCATCAACATCTTCAAAAGTATTAGCATCATCGGGACACCATCATCATCATCACCATCATCATCATCGTTCACATCATCAACATCATCATCATCATCATCATCATCATCATCATCATCATCATCATTGGGACACCGACGGGACACCGGCGGGACACCGCGCGCCACTGGCCCCCGAGCGGGACACCGGCGGGACACCGCGGAGCACCGGTTGCCGGAAGGGAGACTTTTGGTCCGGCGCCGCGCCTCAGCTACAGGACTCTTTTTCTCGCCCGCCCACGCAGCTTCGCCTCGCCCGCACGCACGGCACGCACGAACACGAAACCGAAACCGATTTCCCGGTAGGGGGGCTCTCCGTTCCTCTTCGATCTCACCCCCTCACCTCCGACATACACATGTCCCTCTCTGTCGTTCCCCTCCTGGAGGAGGGTAGTAGGCGAGCGGAGCTCGGGCGAGTGGCTGCCGGCCAGAGAGGCCCTCGAGTCCTCGCTGCTGCAGCTGGAGGCCGCCTTCGGGGGCGTGAAGACAGCCATCCAGCAGGCCAGCGGCCCGGCGCGGAGCGCCGCTGCCGACGAAGAGAGAAGAGGAGGAGGAGGAGGAGGAGGAGGAGGAGGAGGAGGAGGAGGAGGAGGCGGAGGCGGAGGCGGAGGCGGAGGCGGAGGCGGATGAGGCGGAGCTCTGTTCTATGGGCCTCCGCCCTATTAGCTTCGCACGCAAGTGGAGCGACGGCGTCGTGAAAACATCGCGGCGGACGGCGTTCCTCTGTTCTCGCCCTCTGGGGGTCCTCACCGGGCACCAGGGCCGTCAACGAAACGACTCAGGACGAAAAATCCGTCCCCGGGATGGGGTCCAGACCTCTGGGGGGCCACGTCGTTCGACTACACGCAAGAGTGACTCTTCGCCGGAGTGACCTTTGGTGCGAGCCGATAGGGGTCCCCCGATCGCCGAAGGCGAAGCGATAGTCGTGTTTGGTCCCCCCGCTGTCCCCGAGAAGCCGCGCACCAAATGTCACTCTGACCCGGGGTCACTTTTGCGTGTAGCCGAGTCTTGAGAGCATCATGACGTGGCCCAGGGGTCTGAGGCCCTAGGCCATCGTCCTAGTGGCGCGGGATTTTGAAAGAACCAGCATAACCAGAAATGGTCGAGCGCCCGCGCTGGTGTGATACGTAAGTCAACAGGGAGGTGCTGGTCCAAGGGGAAGTTGCTTCCGTTCTGCTCCGTAGCGTCAGGTTGGCAGTGTCTTAGGGCCGGTGGACAGAGGAAGTGAATGGGGGAGGAGTTATTTCGACCAGAAAAGAGACGATACCATCCCACCTACGGTTCTCCATGTTGCGCTACGGCCCGTCGGGGGCGCTACGGCCCGTCGGGGGCCCTAGCGTATATCATGCATAAACCGACGCCTGATCTCCTGGTGTACGCTAAGGCCCGTGGGGCGTTAGGTGGGGTGGTGTCGTTGGCTTTCTGGTCCACGAGTGGCAGCCTGCGTGCGGCCGATGTCCCAGCCCCGCTGGCAGCCCCATGATCCTTCCGATTCTCCTCGCATCTCACATTCCGCTCGGCCCAGGCACTCGTCTGCCACCGCTCGCTGTGCCGTCGGAGGTGCTGCAGCAGGGGCAGGGGCAGCAGCGCGCGACCAGGACAAAGAATGGGGAGGAGGAGGAGGAGGAGGAGGAGGAGGAGGAGGAGGAGGAGGAGGACGAGGAGGACGAAGAGGAGGAAGAGGAGGAGGAGGAGGAGGAGGAGGAGGAGGAGAAGGAGCAGGAGGAGTAGGAGCAGCACGAGGAGGAGGAGGAGCAGCACAAGGAGGAGGAGGACGAGGAGGAGGAGGAGGAGGAGGAGGAGGAGGTCGGGGGGTGAGACCGCAGTGACACGGAGTCGCCCAACTGGAAAACGAGTTTCGGTTTCGCTGCGGGTCGTGCGTGGTGGCGTGGCGCAGCAGCTAGGGAGGTCCTGCGCCAGCTGGGCCCAGAGGTCCCGCCATAATTACGTAGTTGCCGTCCGGCCCTCCAGAGCGTACCACAGGTTGTCCCGCGGTTGTCCAGCGGTTCCTCGCGATTGTCCTGCGCATGTCCCGATGGTTGTCCAGTTGGCTGTCCCGCTGGCTGTCCCGGTGGCTGTCCTGCTGGCTGTCCGGAGGACTGTCCCGATGGTTGTTCTGATGGCTGATCCGGTGCTTGTCCACATGGTTGTCCCCATGGGTGTCCAGATGATTGTCCCGAAGGTTGCCCTCATGGTTGTCCCGATGATTGTCCCGATGCCCGATAGTTCCCCCCATGGGTGTCCCGACGGTTGTCCCTTGGTTGTCCCGATGGTGTTCCTGATCTTTGTCTTGTGGTTGTCTCGTGGTTGATCTTCGGTTACCCCGTGGTCGTGCTGTGGCTGTCCCGCAGTTATCCCGTGGTTTCCCGTTGTTGTTCCGCGGCTTTCCTGTGGTGGTTCCATGGTCGTTGGGTGGTTGTTCCCTGGCTGTTTCCTGGTTCTTCCGTGGTTCATCTGTGGCTGGCACTTAGCTGTTGCGAGACTGTCCCGTGGTTGTCTTGTGGTTGTTCCGTGGTTGCCCCGTGGTTGTCCCGTGGTTGTCCCGTGGTTGCCGATCTGTTCTTCGCGATATTGCTGAATAGTGATGCCAGCACGTTTATAGTGAGATCTATTGGTAGGTCCATACGAGCGGAAATGTTGGCTCGGCATGCAGTGCCGCAAGTTCTGGACGACCGCGCTGCGACGCGACGCGCGAGCCACTTCCCGATGACCATATGCCAGTGTCCCAAGCGTTGCCCAGCTTCCCGTCCCGCGGAGCGGAGCGACACGCTATCTGCTTGCAGGGTATACGTGGCGTGTGGCTGGGGCCGCCGCCGCGGCAGGCTAAGCAGAAGTGTCCGATCGTGGGGGATACCCAGGTGTGTAGATATTACAGGTCCATACATCCAAGCATGCATACATACAGGCATACCTGTATGCATGCATGCATCCATGCAGACACACACACATGCATGCATGCATGCATACCTGCATACATACAAACATGTATACACGCCCGCATACAAACACGCATGCATACACACAGACATTCATACATACATAAAATGTCACGTACACCTATACATATACATATATCCATATACTATGTATGTGTGCATACGTATACGTATACTTCGTACACATACATACATACATGTATGCATGCATACACACATGCATACATGCATACACACATATACATGCATACATACACACATACACACATCCATACATGTCTACATTCACATGTACATCCATACATACGTACACACATACATACATACATACATGCATGCATGCATACATACATTCGTACGTACATACATGCATGCACATATACATACATACACACACATACGTGCATACATACATACATGCATACATACATACATATATACATACCTACCTACCTACCTACCTACGTACCTACCTACCTACCTACCTACCTACCTACCTACCTACCTACCTACCTACCTACATACACACACATACATACATACATACACACACGTACATACATATGTGCGTACGTACGTATATACATACATCCATACATACAGAACTGCATACATGCATGCATACATGTATGCATACATACACCATACACATACACATGACTTCAAACATACATTCGTGCATGCATGCATCCATGCATACATACTAGGGTGTCTGGTCAATCGTCTGTTCCATTGATAGTTTGATGATGGCATCGCCAATTGGTGGGATCGACCTCCAGTGATACCGTTCGATGGACTGTGCGACATGTGCAAATACAATGCTTTTCCACCAGGGCCATCATATATGTAGAATTGAGTATGCAGTTCGAGTCCAATCCGGCGCCAATCGCCCACTGAAGATTGCACCTATCCCCCCAAACCTCCTTTTGACCCTAAGACTTTCCCTAACGTTGTTTTTGTGAACCATTGCACTCGCTTCCAGATGCTCTTACCATCTTCAGGCCGAGGTCAGGGCAACGCAACAAGGGGCAACAGGAGGAGGAGGAGGGGGTACATCTACATGTACGTAAATCGAGTGGCCGTCGGCCAAACCTGGAGGCTTCTATGGGTCGCTTTTGGGAAGCCTCCCCAAGGCATCTTGGAGGCATTCGTGGGACCTCAGCAGTCTTATTACGGCATCTTGGGGCGTCTTGGCGGCATCTCGGGGGCCTCATGTGGGCCTGCTTGTGATCTCGGGGGGCATCTCCTCAGGAAAGGCTCGACCTGTCGGGTCTGGTTCCCCCTCTTCGGCCCCTCTTGGGACCCTCTTGGGCCTTCAGGGCTCTCCTGGGCGCCTCATTGGCAATTTTGGGGCCACTTGGGCCGTTCGGGGCCCTCTGGAAGGCCTCATGGGCCATCGTGGAGCGATCTCCGGGACCTCTTTGGCCGTCTTGTTGCGTTGGACGCCCTTGCAGGGCATCTCTTTCCACGACAGGGTCCCGTCATGGAGTGCGTTGGATATATAGCGTCTTGGGCCGTCCTGGGGCTTTCTCGGGGCCGACTTGGAGCTCTATTGGGCCGTCTTTCGGCGCTCTTGGGCTCTTGATGCCTTTTTTGAAAGCCTTGAGGCGATTGGGGGGCCTCTTCGGCGGTCTTGGACGCCCAGAGGATGACTAGAAGAAGCGGAGCTCCAGAGGCCCAGGTACGGCACACGTGGCTCCTCTTCGATCCCACTCCCCAGAAGCGACCGGCCTGGGGGTGCGCTCTGGCTGGAACGGAAGCCCCGATCTTTTTCCCAGGGCCCGTTTTGTGTTCATGCCCAGCCTCACCAGGGCCAACCAGGCCATGCTAAGGTCAGGCTCAGGACCGAGGGCCGCCTACTGGCTCCACACCTTACCCACCACCGAGGGGCACGTCCTCGTGAGCTGTTTTTTGATTGCCCCGTGGCCCGACGAGGGCCCCCCGAAGAGGCCAGAAGCGGCCAAAAGTGTCCAGTCGTGATGTTCTTCGATCCGTCTGGAGGACAGTCGAGGCTGATCAGTAGGTCGACCCTGTCAACCGTAGCCATTTTGGCTCAAGCCTCTCTGGCTTCTTCAAGATTGCTCATCCACCGCACGTCTGCACGGGGCGATCACCATGGACTCGTGGACGGTGCCGAGGTTCCCTCCCATCCCTCCAGACGCTGCCAAGGACTTCCAGGGCAAGATCGTGATTGTCGGTGCTGGAGTGGCTGGGCTCTTTGCAGCCAATACTCTGAAGTTTCTCGGCATCGAAGATTTCATCGTCCTGGAAGCTGGTGAAACGTTTGGCGGTAGGTTGAAATCTGCCTTCGATTTCCACGAAGATGTGCCTCTGGAGTTGGGCGCGGAGTGGATCCATGCTTCGAATGGCGACGTCGTCAAGGACATGCTGGTGTTTCCTGTGGACGAGGGCTTAGAGGCATCGGAGTTCATCAAGTATCAGCCAAAGTGGTTTTTCGGCTCAAGCAGGAGCAGAGTCCTGGGATGCCTCTACCAGGAGACGAAGTGGAAGCGCACGACGTGGCTCCAGTGGCTCGAGAGGTATGTCTACCGGCATGTCCAGGACAAAGTTCAGTTCAATGCAGTCGTGAAAGAAGTGGCCTATGGTGAGGATAATGGAGTCAGATTGCTGATGGAGGATGGTGCAGAACTCTGGGCAGCCAAGGTCATTTGCACTATTCCACTGTCCATCCTCAAATTGGACGCCGTCAAGTTTGACCCTGCTCTGCCAATGCAAATGCGAAAAGCCATCGATTCAGTTGGCATGCTGCCAGGATTCAGAGTTCTGTTGGCAATGAAGGAGAAGTTCTACCCTGATGTCACGATTGACGGTGGCCGCTTCGATCTTCTGAAAAATCAAGATCAGGTGTGTGCGGTTTATGACGCTCTGTATGGGAAAGAGTTGTCTGACAAGCAGAACGTGTTGGCGGTCGTGGCGATTGGCGACAAGTACTGCAAGGATCTGATCCATTTGGATGATGAGAGCTTGGCGAAAGCTGCGCTTGGCATTGTCGACAGGCTTTTCAAAGGCCAGGGCACCCTAAACTACATCAAGCATAGGGTTCAGAATTGGAGCCTTGAGCCGTATGTTCTTGGTGCGTACAGCGTTGGCGGGGCTTCCCACGAGAGGAAGGAACTCGGCAAAACGATCAATGGCAGAATGCTCTTCGCCGGGGAGCACACGTGCGTCAATTTCCACAGCCTCGTGCCAGGTGCTGCTCTGGAGGGCCGCCGGGCAGCCGTGGAGGCAGTTTCAGGACGCATCATGTCTTAGATTGACCATCCACGCGACGGCAATATGTCAGCCGACATTTACACACCCGGCCGCGAATATATGTGAATGCGCAGCTTCGGCCGCGCGAAGTCGCGAGTCATCGATCGGGGCCGGACCTGAACGCTGTTTTGCAGGACTTCGGCTGTGTTTTGTCTTTCGTTTTGGCAAGCAAAACGAAGCACAAAACGAACACAAAACGAAAAGCAACGTTCAGGTCCAGCTCCGATTTACAGTTGACGTAGGCCGTGCAGAAGTCGCGAGTCGTACATCGTGTAACCACTCACTGGGGCGCCCTCGCTCTCACAGATTTTTGAGTCACACACGTGGACTGGTGAGTCTAGCCGCCGCGAGACGCGGGCCGTTCCTGATATGGGTTGTCAGTTTAGGTCATCGCGCCAGTCAAAAGAACAAGTAGGTCGACCCTGTCAAATCAACGGAACCCTGGTGTCCTGTGCTTCGCGACCCATGCCTCCTAACTACATTGTTGTGGCAATGTGTTCCTCGGAAGGGTCTTGTGTCCTCTCGCGTGTCCTCTCCAATCAGCCCCGAGAGATCAAGTGCAGAATCGGAAATGGTACATCCATGGTCGAAAATTGCCCCCATGTGGGCCACTCCCGCCGAGTCTGGCGCATTCCCGTTCAGCACGGCTGGGTCCAGCTTGAGCCAGCCCAGTCTTGGGCAGCATCTGGCCTGATCCGGCTCAGTGGCCCCTCCATCGGGCTTACCTTGACCGTCCAGGAGTGCAAACAATTGGCAGCATGACCTCGACGTCTCGATTTCTGTTGAGGGCTCGGGCGGTCCAGGTCGGTCGATAAGGTCCACTGCACTCTGGGAGGACAGGGAAGCGCTCACTCGTTCTGGCGCAAGCCTCCCGGGATGTCTTTCTACGTGAGGACAATCCAAAAACCGTCAGTTAATAGTCTGGGGACGATTGTTCGATTATTTGTTTGACGATTTAAAACGTATGTTTGACTATTTTTTATTTTTCGTCCAAGATCCGCCCGTAGGAGGACACAGGGCTGGACCTAAACGCTATTTTGCTCGACTTCGGCTGTGCTTTGATTTTCGTTGTGGCAGGGAGCCACAGGGAGACATATGGCGCACAACGAAGAACAAGATGACGAAACCGAAACGAAAAACGACGCTTAGGTCCAGCCCGTAGGAGGACATGCCCGACCCTCACCCTACCTGTGGCCGCTCCTGCTGCAGCGGCGCCCCCCCCGCGGGCGGCCCGCGCGGAGGCCGGCCCGGGCGAGCCGAGCAGCAGCGCCGCGGGCGACGTCACGCCGCGCCGCAGGGCGCGGGGCGCCGAGGAGCCGGCCCGCGGGCCAGCGGGGCGAGCGGTGGCGGAGCGTCCATATGCCTTGCCGTGGATCTCGCGGACGAAATCGCCACGGGAGGTTTTTGTTCGCTGCTTCTGCGGCCGGCCGGGGGCCCTTGAGGAAGAGGAGGAGGAGGAGGAGGAGGAGGAGGAGGAGGAGGAGGAGGAGGAGGAGGAGGAGGAGGAGGAGGGGGAGGAAGAGGAGGGAGGAGAAGAAGGAGGAAGAGGAGGGAGGAGAAGAAGGAGGAGGAGGAGGAGGAGGAGTTTGCCGGGCCTCGGGGCCGTCAAAGGAGACGACTCGGGGTGAAAAAACGGCCCCCCGGGCAGGGGTCCAGACCTCTGGGGGTCAACGAGCCGGGCAGCGACGAAGAGGCCTCAAGCAGTGGCGAAGCGTCTTGCCTTGCCTACAGGCTCCCCAAAGGATGTTCTACGAACCTTTTGTGGTCTGTACGAAAAATGTGATTCTGACATTTCTGGCCGAGGCTGTCTTGCTTGAGCACGTCGGGTGTATGTTCTGAGGGCATCGGATTTGTTTTTAGAGCAGTCTTGGGTTCTAAGGACACTTCGTGGTAGGATTATAGGAATGCCGGGACGGTCGGTCCCTGCTCAACAGCGAGGGGGCGTGAGGCGGGCCCCGGCTTAGAAGGCCCCGAGGAACTCGAGACGAGGCTTTGTCGCTACAGTCAACCCGCATAGGAAGGATGGGCAACCTTCCCAAAGGTACCCTTGCCCCTTCGGCCCATCCTCTACCACTTTCGCTGGCCGCGCCCCACTCGAGAAGCTTCAAAATGGGCGTCCAAGGCCCTTGCGTCCAAGGCTTCAAAATACACGAGCGAAGCTAAATCATGCACGGCTCCTTCTCCCTCCTCCTCCTCCCTCCTCCTCCTCATCCTCCTCCTCCCCCCTCCTCCTCCCCCCTCCTCCCTTTTTGGCTCCGCCGCGCCCGCTCGGGTGGTGCGAGCTCGCGCTAGGAGGCTTCCCTGGCTTTGCTGATCCTCTCCTCGCCTCTGGCATGCCAGCCGCGCCATGACTCCGGGAGGGGCGTCCCCGCTGCCGAGCGGCGAGCCCAGGCGTCTCGGCGCTGTGCGGTGCATCCCCAAGGCTTTGTTCGCCCTTCAGCACAGAGGTTGCTGCGCCGCGCGTCCGGGGCCCCTTTTGCAGGCTGCGCTCGGCACAGACGCCGAAGCTGCTGGTGCCGCCTCTTGCGAGGACGCTATTTGCGTTCGTGCAGGCGCCGACGCAGCCGGTGGTAACGTCCCTGCATGGCCTACGTTCCCTGTTCCCTCCTGGGACAGACGCAGCCGGTGGGAACGTCCCTGCATGGCCTACGTTCCCTGTTCCCTCCTGGGACATGCGTGCCAGGCCTGGCAGTGCCTGGCAGGTGTGGCGAGCGTTGATGCGACGTCTGGTGCTGCGGCGTCGACGGCACCAGCGGGCCCTGCCATGATCGAGGGCAGAAAGGAGGAGGACGGGAAGAAGGACGTCGCGCGGGACGTCGTATACAAAGTCGAGCTACAGCTTCTGGAACCACGGCAGGCCTGTAGGAGGAGTCACACGGAGGAGAAGGAATGCGGCAGCAGAAAGAAGCCGAGGGCCGACGCCGATGTGCTCTGCTGCCGCGACGTAGGTGGAGGCGGTGACTCCAGAGGCAGTGGCGCTGGCGGAGGCGATGCGAGGAAATGCCCGCATCGGCGCGGCCTGGCTGACGGAGCTGACGGCAGGGCTCGGCCGTCTTTTGACGGGGTTCCTGGACGAACTTGGCAGACATCGGGCACGTAAGGCTGACGTACTAGTTCACATAGTTTTGTGGGTGTGTGTGGGGTTGGGACATATGCCAAGGTCCGCGGTTGCTTATTAATGGGCGGAGGCCGTAAAGCTCTCAGGCGTTGATGGCATTTGCTACTTCTGGGGGGGTGTTTCATGCGCGTTGCGGTGGGAAGGCCATCTTGCGCGTCCAGTGTTTTACCCTTTGCTGTTTCCAATGGAGCCGTTGGGAACCAGTGGACAGATGGCTTCGCCACTTTGCCGACGAGAAAGTGGTGTGCTGACTACAGAAGGAGACTAGTTTCAAAGACAGTTGCCAGAGCCACCTTCGGAATGCACAAAGAGGCATCAGTTTTGAAGACATGTGCTTGCCCATGTTTGCGGACTACCAGAAACATTCCGCACGGCCAAGGCGTTCGCGGCCAGCCCAGACGGCATCCCATCCACCATGCTACATGCTTTTACGACGGACATCGGGAGTACGTTGTACCCAGTGGCGGCCGCAGCACGTGTGCGCATTGAGGAACCGCTCCAGTGGAAGCGGGGCAATTATGGGATCATTGGGAAACATGCGTACACCCTTGCCATCTGCAAAATCCACCGTTCGGCCATGATTTCATTTCAAGTTGGAGAAAGATGTCGGCTAGTTTTCCGGGTGCACGCTCCGCGTGCACATTCCTACATCCCCACACAGAGTTCGACGAGGTCTGGCCCATGTGGGCCCAAGTTGGTACGCCGTACAGCATCCATTCGCTCTTCAGGGCAGCTGCTGCGCAGGCGCATTTTCTCGTCTTCAGTGAACGTGACATGCGCGGCCCGGCGCGCTCCGTTTTTCGGGGATGCCCCTCAAGTCAGGATGCTCTGTAGGTGCGGCGACAGGTTTGAAAGGAGACCCGGCTTCTGTCTTTGAGCATCGCGCGCTAGACACTTGAGTCTCCGAATGGCGCGCGGTGACGACACGGCGCGAGGCGCGAGTTGCATGGCCTGGCCACTTCCGTCAAGTGTTTTTCCGTCCTGCGGTCACCCAGTCGGCATGTCGGTAGAACGGAGAGGACAAGTCTTCACCAATGCCACCATCATCACCACAACCACCATCATCATCAGCATCAGCATCAGCATCATCATTACCATCATCGCCATCATCCTCGTCACCATCATCACCATCAGTATCATCATCATCAGCAGCATCATCGTCATTATCATCACCATCAGCACCATCACTATCAGCATCATCAGCAGCATCATCATCATTTCATCAGCATCATTAAGATGATCATCATACCACCCTCATCTGCATCACGAGCATCATCATCACCATCAACATCACCACCATCATCATCATCACCATCATCATCAGCACCATCGTCATCATCAATATCACCACCACCATCATCACCATCATCATAATCCTCATCCTCATCAGCATCAGCATCATCATCACCATCATCATCATCACCATCATCATCACCATCATCGTCATGCTCATCATCATGCTCATCATCACCACCTTCACCGTCACCATCATTAGCATTATCATCATCATCATAATCCTCATCGTCATCAACATCATTATCGTCATCATCATCATCGTCATCATCATCATTATCATCATCGTCATCATCATCATCATCATCACCATCATCATCATCATCATCATCATCATCATCATCATCATCATCCCCCTCCTGCTCGCCCTGTCCCTCCCCATCCCGGCCCCCCTCGCCCGCAAGGAGGATCTCCCCTCCGCCGCCCCGCCCCTCGAGACGCCCGTGAAGAACCCCAGGCCCTTCCTCGCGGCCGCGCCGGTCGACTACGACTGCGCCGCCGGGGCCGACGCTGCGGGAGGCAGGGCGCGGGGCGTGCGCCACCGCACCGCCCCCCTCTCTCCTCCTCCTCCTCCTCCTCGCTCCTCCTCCTCCTCCTCCTCCCCCTCCTCCTCCTCCTCCTCCTCCTCCGCCTCCTCCTCCTCCTCCTCCTCCTCCTCCTCCTCCTCCTCCTCCTCCTCCTCCCGGGCGGTGCCGTTCTTTCTGCGCCGGGCTCTCTCGCCCAGTTTCGGGCCC